AAAAAAACCTCCAAAAAAAAAGAAAAAAAAAGAATGGGAAGTGGGAGGGCAGGAAGGCGGAAGGGGCAGCTCAGGGGACGCCTGGAGCCCAAGGACCTGACTTGCAGGTGCGATGGTGGGGTCTGGCCAGGATGATGTTGGAGGAGCTTCTCTTACATAGAGTAGCCTAAGGCTAGACCCAAAGAGAGGTTCAGAACCTCACTCTCAGAAAGCAGAGTCCAAGATGGTTATGCCGCTGCACGTGTAGTCACAGTGAGTGGTTTGAATCTTGGAATTGGTGGCTTAAAACACGCTGTGCACATGTGTGTGTGCACGCGTGCTCAAAACCCCAAAAGGAGAATGGAGGAGAAGGGATTATGGTGTGGCCATCCCTCCAGGGTAGTTTCCCACTTTGTCTTTCCAGTGAGCACACACACCCTGCAGCAAAAATCTCTGGGTAGGGAGAAGAAATAAAAAAAGGAAGCAAGCAGGTCAGGAGGGCCGGCAGATGGCGTGGTACTTCAGGCACCTGGTCCCCACGTGGCCAACTGCATGTAGTGTGAGCCCCAGACCCAGTGGCTTCCTTTCTCCTCTCTGCTGAGTACATGTGGTCTACATCAAATTTTAAAAACATGTGTATTTATTTATTTATTTATTTTTGAGAGGTTTTTGCTATAGGGCGCGTGCGCTCGCCAGACAGAGATAGACATAGAGACAGAAAGCGAGAAATCACCCCCCAGGGGGGATGGTCACGCTGCAATCACTTCTCCTCCATTCTCCTCTCGGGATCTTGGGCACGCACGCACACGCGCCCGGCGTGAGTTTTAAGCCACCGGGTCCAGGACGTGAACCGCGGTCGACTACGTGGGAGTCCAGCGACATAGCCATTACACTAACTGCTGGTTCTCTAAAAACATATTTAACAAATAAATATGAAGAAAAAATGAAAGCATAACTATTCCACGTCTCCAGAAGTAGGTTGGGAACTTGAAGAAAGTTTAGAGTCTGGGGACCAACTGGTGGCAGGTGGTTGAGGCACTAGATTCCCACATGGCTGACCATGGTTCAAGTCCTGGACCTGGCAGTTTGCTTTCTCACATTTCCTTCCTTTCTGCCTCTCTCTGGTCAAAATTGAAGAACAATGGGACCAGCAGTTAGCATAATGGCTATGTCGCTGGACTCCCATGTAGTTGACGCGGTTTGAGTCCCTTACCCGGAGGGTTAAACACGCCGGGTGCGTGTGCATGCGTGCCCAAGATCCCAAGAGGAGAATGGAGAAGGGATTACGGCATGGCCATCCCCCCTGGGAGGTGATTTCTCACTTTCTGTCTCTGTCTCTCTCTGTCTTTCTGGTGAGCGCACACACCCTATAGTGAAAACCTCTCCAAAAAAAAAAATTTTGAACAATGACAATAAATAAAATTACAGATAAATAAATCTTTAAAAGAAAGAGTTATATAAAAAAGTGTAGAGCCTGGAATCTGTTATTTCCCCGAAGTGGTGCCTGCGGCGGTCCCTGCTCAGCTCCAGTATTAACAGTGGGGCCCTTGGAGCTCAGGCTTCCATCTGGGCTCCTCCTGCCTTTGCTCTCTCTTTCCTCTTTATTTATTTTTTGAGAGGTTAAAAAGATGCTCGGGGCCAGCAGATGGCGTAGTGGCTAAGGCGCTGGTCAGCCATCAAGTCCCGGATCTGGAGGCTTGAAATACGCCGGTATGTGTGCGTCATGCCCAAAGTCCCCGGAGAGTGAAGGGCTGGTGCTGTAGCCCTCTAGCGAGCACACGTGCCCTAATGCCCAAACGTGTCAGAGATGAGTAAAGCAGGAAGGACGTGCTCTTCCCGGGTGCAGAGTGGGTGGGGGGGGGGAAGCCGCAGAGGTGCAGCAGGGGCCAGCCCGTCACCGGTAGCTTGTGAGTAACTGCTGCACAGGGGGCTGGATCCCACATGGCCCGCCGGGGCTGGAGCCCTGGCTCGTGGCATGAAAAGCATGCCCAGGATCCAGACGGAGAACAGAGGGGAAAGGATCACTGTGGGCACGCCCAGTGGGGACCCCCTCTCCCATCTCTCCTTAGTGAGTGCCTACACCCCCTCTGCCTCTCCCCTGTCAGGGCAGCCTCCTGCTCTGGGAAGGCACTTCAGTGGGCGGTGCTGTTCTCCTGGGCCTGGTCTGTCCGGGCAGAGCCCTGGGAGCTCGCCCCTCCCTGGACGCGACTGGTGACTGTCTCGGGAAAGTCAGTCACTCAAGGCCGCTGGTTGTGCGGGCGGCCCCTCCCGGAGACAGGGCAGTGCCCTACGGCCAATCATCTGCAAGGGGGACGTGGGCCAACCTCGGGGTGAGGGCCCACAGGGCATGCTGAACAACTCCCCGACTGACGGCAAGAGCCCAGTCCACTCCAGGAGGATAGGGACTGACCCGTGGTCACCCGTGTCCCTGGCACCGTGACCCCTCGACAGCACCCCCCATGCAGGGCAGCTGAGATCCTGCCCAGCGCACCCACCACCTCCAAGAAGCCCTCCTCATCTGCCCCAGCACTTGTGCCTTGCAGCTCCTGTCACTCAGACATGGGAGGTGAGAATGCCCACACTCAGTGCAGGGCAGGGCGGGTGGTGATGGGGCCATGTGGCTGCCCCTGGTCGGTGAGGCCCACAGACAGCCTGACATCAGTGCTGCAGCCCCCACCCGCGCAACAGGTGTTTCAGGTGGGGTACCCGAGGAGTGGGAGGTGCCCAGAGGAGCTATCAGGCATGGTCCCCCTGGGGGGCAGTGGTGACAGTCCTTCAGCCCTGAAGGGACTGTCGGTGGTCAGAGTCCACCAAGAGCTCTGTGCTCAACACGGATGGCTTGTGCGTCGGCCGGTGCCACCTGGGTCTGAGTCAGCCCAACTTGCCAGGCCTGGCACGCCATCCCCACGCCCCGTCCCTTGCCGCAGCGGCCAGACGGTGGAGTGGAGGAGACAGCTTTTTCTCCCATGCCAGGGGAGTGCGCCCACCAGGCAGAACGAGGGGTGGGGCACCCCCCACCTTTGTCCCTTCCCCTTCTACGTCCTGCCCATTTGGGGCGTGCATGCACACTTGCCCAGTGTGTTCTTCAGGCCATTGAACCCAGATCACCATGTGGGGTCCGACTCCCCCGCGCTGCTGCACTTGAGGCCAGTCGAGGTGACAGCTTGTGTCACTCAGGGTGGGTCACACGTGCATTGCGTTCATGGCCAGGCCTTCCCTCGTAGGCCCGTTGAGGAAAGAGGCTCAGGACAGGAAGCTGCACACCTGGCCCGGCGGGAGAGCGGCCTCCAGCTGCAGGGGGCAGGGCCTTTACCCCCCACCCCGCTCCGGGCCACGCTGCCTTTTTCCTTTTTGGAGAGGTTTTTGTTATAGGGCGCGTGCGCTCGCCAGAGAGACAGAGAGCGAGAGATCACCCGCTCTGCGGTTACTGTTCGTCCCACGCTCACGTCAAGGGCAGGGCACCGAGCGGGGCAGTGGCTGAGCCTGGGGTCTCCCTACTCGGGATCCCACGCTCTCCCGCCAGCTGCGCGATGCACCCTCGGTTCCCTTTTCTGTCCGAAGGGCCCAACCCTGGTTGGACGCACGAGGCTCCCAGGACAGGCCCGCCAGACGCCAGAACGAGCGCACGCACCGGCGCCGCTTCCGGGGCTCCGGCCGCAGGCAGGAG